CATATTTAATTATTATTATTATTATTATTATTATTATTATTGTTGTTGTTGTTATTGTTATTATTATTATATTATTATTATTGGATCAATATCTAATGAAATTACATTATTTCTGAAGCTTGGTGATAAGTCTCCTTAAACTTCTAGGACCTTCCTGGGGATCCTTGCCGTGTTCAGAATCACACTTTTTAGAAGTTCATCTATTCTGGTCTGTATACCGGTGTGTTCCAGTCTTTTCTTTAATTTCTTTGGAACCGTTCCAAATGTCCCAATTACAATAGGAATGACCACTGTTTTAATTTTCCATCATTTTCTCAGTTCTCTTGCTAAATCCTGATACTTGATCACTTTCTCCATTTCTTTCTCTTCGATGTGACTATCGTATGATATTGCAAAATCTATGATTTGGCAACGTTTACTTTTCTTTTCAACTGAAATCATATCTGGTCTTCTTGCGTCTATTACATGATCAGTCTGTATCGTAAAATCCCATAGGCCTAATACTTTACATTCATCATTCTCTAGCACAGGCTCAAGTACATGTTCGTACCATTTATTATTATTATTATTATTATTATTATTTTAACTTCATTATATCCTTTATTCATCTTTAAAATATAAAATGATACAAGGATTAAAATATAAAGAATATGCAATTCCAAAAATAAACAAATAAGGCTCTAGGTTACAGTTTAAAAGACATTAAGGAGAGAAAAGCAAAAATTTAAATTTAAAAAAAAAGAAGAACAAGCTGTCAACAATTCGACCCAGACCTAGAGTTAAAATTTATTATTAATTATTAATTGTTTATTCTCTGTTCTTTCAAATAAAATGTAAATTAAACCTTTGAGCAAAGATCACCTAATATTGTATAACATAGGGCCTGTTGCTGTTACCCATACCCCACCCGGGATACGTGGTTCATTTTTCCTCTTCAATTTCCTTTTCATTAATTGTACTTGTATTTTTCTGTTGCATCATGGGACAATACGAATTTCTGTGTCACTGAAAATGTTTGTTTTTATTTCGAATCCATCATATTTATCGACACAATACAAGAAACAACAGAACGGACGGATAAGAGACGACTCAATTAATCCTTAAAAAGTGATTAGTTTCCATTGCGGTCCCAGTAAAATATTAATGATAAACAATAAAAAAAGGAAGAAATAAAATGACAAAATTTTAAGAATACTTGCAGAAAACACTCACATTAATGACTTCGTTGGTCATTAAGTTCGTTTTGTAGACGTTTTAATTCAAATTTAAAGATGTGAATATTGTCAACTTCCTTCCCTCAAAGAACTTAAATTTATTATCTTTGCTTCTCTGAAGGGCATTCCACTTAAGCCTGTTTTCCACTAGGCGAATTTATGCGCGCGAATCGAAGGCGTCGGTTAGGTTCCTGAGCTCTGATTGATTGCGCACATTTTTCTCTACACAAAAAGTAGAAACCGTTCAAACTACCAGTTTTGCTGAAGCGAAAACTCCGATAGAAATGTGAATGAGCATGCGCCTGAACGACGCTTTCCATTTGCGCGAATAAATTCGCCAAGTGGAAAACCGGCTTTGAGAGATGCAATTGTTGGAAAAGGAAAATTGTAAATGCGGTTTAAATTTAGATAAGACAAAGTCCTTAAATGATAATAAAGTATAGCTGTATCTCTATTTGAACAAATCGGTAGTAGATTGGGATAATGTCCGTCTAGTGTACTTGTTAGTTACATGTTATTCATAAGGATACTCTACTGGCACATACTACCGTATTCGTTTAAATTATTGTTAACATTGTTATCATAATATTTTGACGTCACGGGGGTCATATAAAACCATATGTATGTTTAATGAAGCTGGTAATTATCGTACTGATGTTATGTAATGTAATTGGTAACATCCCTTTGAATATCATTTTTAACTATTATTCCGAGTTGTGACGAACAATAGGCCTCCAGTCGACCGCTAACGTTACCCCACGGTATCAGCGTCATTAAATCATCATTCATTTTCATCAACGACATGGTAATTAGTTCACTTAGGAATTAAGTACGGTACAGAAGAGTGTGACTTGATACAAATTGCATGGTGATTGGCTTCGCGTGGTTAATTATCGGATGAAAGTGCCACAGAGTAGAATGAACATGACTTACAGAACTATAGTAAGCAATTTATTCGGAAAGTACACGTTTTAATAGTGAAGCACTTCATAATTGTGAAGGTGCGTAAAAAATACACAGTTACAGTATAAAACTTAATACATTGCAACTGAAATGAATATTAAAGGCAAAAACAGCCAACTAAAAAAATAATGAATATAAATAAAAACACAAATAAAAACAAACAAAAACAAATAAAAGTGTATATAAAAAGATATAAAAACTTTAATTTTTTTTTTTTTTTCAAATTCTAACTCTCTGTCCACACTATCAAATATAATGTTACAATTACTGTAAATGTGATTTTACCATTTTTGGATGTAATATGACATCATCATGATCATGATGTATATATAAGCACATCACACAAATTTGTCCCATAACAGCGTGAACAGAGCTTAAAGCCAGGCTGAGGAGGAATTTTTTTTTTTTTTTTTTTTTTTTTGGTCATCATATCATATATGTAATTCTATTTTTATATATGTATGCGGCAAATAGATAGAGATTTTTGAGTATTAAAATAAACTGGAAGAGAAATGTGGAAAAAGGGGTGGTTACGAGGTTTTGGATCGGTCGGGTTTGGGCTGTGTTTTATTTTAACCTAATTACTGAATGGGTATAAGTAGGTCAAGACTGAGAACGCAACATGGGGTTCGATCATAGTGGATCATAAAGTGACCGAGAATACACTACACTACATATGGGTTACTTTATTGGTTTGTTTTTTCTGTTAACAGATTATACTCTTCATAATAGACATTAATGAATTCAAGAATAGTGGACAAGGTATTATTCAATTGTTAGAGTTCGGACGTCATTGTACATTATTGTTTGGACATGTTTGGACATATGTCCAGTTAACTAGACATGAGCCCTGACACGCGACTCTAATGAACCATTCTCATATCAGTTAAAGTGCTATTTTATGCTAATTATTCTTATTGTTAATCTTTGTTCACTCTCGGAACGCATGCTCCTATCTTGGTTTTAATAGACGAATACAGATAATATGAAATTAATTATTGGGCTAAAGTTACGGATTGGAAACTGTAAGCCTCGTTGCCGATTCTTCTATACACAGTGAAGTGATTATCTACTAATTATCTACTTAACGAGCAGAATAACGTTCTAGTGAGTTTGCTATTCATTCTGAATAAGGAGATACTTTAAATTAACAATGTTAACAATTATGTATTGCTATGGTTTACTGTAACTAACAAACTAACTTGTATCATCAACCATGTGTTGAGTGTACGGGCGCGATTAGTGAGT